TCCATCGACATTTCGTTAGCACTGCATTGGCTACCTTTGGCCCAAACTCAGCCTTTCATACAAGAACAGCATTCAATATTTTCTTCCGAAAACCTTGAGTATACTTACTAATGGGTTGTTTTCAATCAAGTCCTACTCAGAGTAGACCTATTGAAATTAATGTCCCTAAGTTAAGGTAAAGGGACCCCTGACCATTAGGTCCAGTCGTGGCCAACTCTGGGGTTGCGGCGCTCATCTCGCTTTATTGGCCGAAGGAGCCGGCGTACAGCTTCCAGATCATGTGGCCAGCATGACTAAGCCGCTTCTGGCAAACCAGAGCAGCGCACAGAAACGCCGTTTACCTTTCCGATGGAGCGGTACCTGTTTATCTAGTTGCACTTTGGTGTGCTTTCGAACTGCTAGGTTGGCAGGAGTAGGGACCGAGCAACGGGAGCTCACCCCATCGCGGAGATTCGAACCGCTGACCTTCTGATCGGCAAGTCCTGGGCTCTGTGGTTTAACCCACAGCACCACACGTGTCCCTGTCCCTAAATTAGTCATGCCTCTATTTTCAATGGGTCTACTCTGCATAGGACTAGCATTGGATACAACAAATCTCATTTTTATTTACCAGGCTACCAACATGAATGGGAAGAAATTCTAGCCATTTATAGTACTGTACAAAGTTCCTGAAGGACGCCTATTCCCCCATCAACCAGTCCATGCATGTAGTGAGGTATGTGTAGAGAGGGAAGGAAGCCTTTTCAGTGTAGGCAAAATGCTTCTGGAAATCCATCCTCTGGGAGGCTTCCCTGATGTGACATCTGTTTTGCTATCATTTGGGCACCAGGCAAACACTTAAAAATAATAAAAATTCTCCCTGGCTCCTTTATTTTTAAATCCTATTTTTGAGTGCCTTCTGCCAGCAGGCAGAAACCTCTTTATTTAAACAGGCATTGGGCCAACTCTGCAGATTTGTTTTTCTCTGTTGCTCTGCGTTTTAATCTGTATTTTAAAGTTGTGTTTTCAGCTGGCTGCCATTGTTCATATTAAGTCATTTTTTAGACGATGGTCTTATTTGCTTAAACATTTCTGTTCTGGGTTTTATTGTCATAGCCACCTTGGGCATCTTTACAGGATGGTGTGACATACCTGTAACAAACAGGTAATAAATAAACTTCTTTTAATTGCTGTTTTCAGTTACTGGGTTGTTGCTGTTTTAATTGTGATGTTGAATTGTACTGGTTATTTATTTGTTTATTAATTTTAAAAAAGGTGTTTGTAACCTGCATTGAAATCCCAATTTGTTGAAGGCTGCTGTAGAAATGTTATAAATACATGCATGCATTAAATAAATAAATGAAATGGTAACGGCATCTTTAATGTCTGTGGGTGTTCCTCATACAAACAAGCACTGATCGCATGCCCTCCTATCAGAAGAATGCAGGACTGTACACATTGCAGGCAGGCCATGTGCTCTTCCTGTGTACAGCAGGGGGGGACGTAGCAATGCCTCCCACATCACAGGGAGTCCCGGCCTCGTCACACCCCTTGCCGACCAATCCGGTCGGCCTGGGGGTGTGGCTTGTGCAATTTAAACAGCTGCACGGCTTGGGGTTCTCCCTTCTGGTTTCCTGCTCCATCAGATCTCCCGCCCTCCTGCCCTTTCTCCATGCGTTCACCATCTTGGCCTTGCTATGGACCACGGTTAGCGGCCCGTTGAGGGGCCTGATAGGAATTACCCCACGTGGCAAATTGGCACCAGCCATGTGGTTTTAGCCTGCAATCGTCACAACTTTGTAAGGTTTCATGGTTAGGTATCAGTAAAACCTGGTTTATGGGAGGGGAGGCTGTGGCCATCACCTGCCCCTCCTCTTTAAGGGTATTCCATTAAAGCAGCCTTTCTCAACCTGTGGGTCCCCAGATGTTGTTGAACTACAACTCCCATCACCCCTAGCTATCAAGGCCAGAGCTCAGGGATGATGGGAGTTGTAGTCCAACAACATCTGGGGACCCACAGGTTGATAACCTCTGCATTAAAGGGATCCGGGGGTGTGGATCTTGTCCAAAGTCTGGGTAAGGGCTAGGGCCATGCCACAACCCCATCGGGGACCCTGGGGGAGCTCTCAGTTGATGTAGATCAACAGGGCTCCCCCTACTGGTGGTTGACCCTTACTGGACTTCCTGCATGGCAGGCAGGAGTCAGATATAGTCAGTTCAATTCCAATGCCTAAGCCAATACCACTCACATTCTGTAATCAATAAAGTTGTGGCCTTAATTATCCCTAACCAGTGGATAAGTGTGGGCCAGGCACAACCCCTCAACCTAACCAATCTCACAAGGTTGCTATCAGGCCTTTTTTTCCAGCCAGAATTCGCTGGAACTCAGTTTTGGCACCTCTCAAGGGGGCGCCATTGCCAGCGGTGGAGAAAGCCTTTCAGGCACCTGGGGCAGCACGCCCAGGGGCGGGGCAAACTGCACATAGGGGCAGGGCGGAGGGTGCGGCACCCATAGGGTTCGGGCGCACAGCGCACATAGGGAGGGATGGGACGAGTGGTGCCCATAGGGAAGGGATGGGGCATGTGGTACCCATAGGGACGGGGCACACCGCAGAGCCTCAGCTGCCCTACAGCTGGGGAGAGGCAGCGGGCAGACAGTGTGGAGCCTGCGGGCGCCCGAGATGCGTGGCTTAGGTGTTCTGCAGGCCCTGCGGTGAGTTGTTGTTGTTTAGTCATTTAGTCGTGCCCGACTCTTCATGACCCCATGGACCAGAGCACGCCAGGCACTCCTGTCTTCCAATGCCTCCTGCAGTTTGGTCAAACTCATGCTGGTAGCTTTGAGAACAGTGTCCAACCATCTTGTCCTCTGTCGTCCCCTTCTCCTTGTGCCCTCCATCTTTCCCAACATCAGGGTCTTTTCCAGGGAGTCGTCTCTTCTCATGAGGTGGCCAAAGTATTGGAGCCTCAGCTTCACAATCTGTCCTTCCAGTGAGCACTCAGGGCTGATTTCCCTAAGAATGGAGAGGTTTGATCTTCTTGCAGTCCATGGGACTCTCCAGAGTCTCCTCCAGCACCATAATTCAAAAGCATCAATTCTTCGGCGATCACCCTTCTTTATGGCCCAGCTGTCACTTCCTTACATCACTACTGGGAAAACCATAGCTTTAACTGTTTATGGCCACCTGCCATTTTGTCATTCCCCTTAGTGGGGGCACCCAGGGTGGACTGCACCTACTGCACCCTCCTTCCTACGCCCCTGGCCATTGCCATTCTAAGAGAAGAATGGAGGTGTTCACAGTTAGTTCTGGTGCCTCATTTTCTAGAAAAATAGCACTGGTTGCTATGAGAATAAAAGGGAGAGGGTCGTACCATGTGTGCCATCCCGAGCTACACGGAGGAGAGTGTGGGTAAAAATGTAATAAATAAATAGTTCACTTAGCTCCATGTTATTTTATTACATTTATATTCCACTTTTCTCCCAGGAAGGCATGTGTGTCATTCCCAGTTCCCCAAACTGCAGGTGTTGGAGTGAGATTTGAATTCAGACTTGCTGGATTGCACATATTCATGTGTGCAAAATTACAGTGAAAACAAGGCAATGTATTAATTTTCTGGTAACACATTAGGCCTTGTGCTCTACTGAACTATGCCCCCCGCCCAAATCATCAAAATCCATGTTGTTAGAATGAGCAACACCTATTAGGTTTAGCATTTAAATGTTTAATTCTAACCAGTGCTTTTTCTGGGGGGACGCAGGGGGACACATACCCCTAAATATTTTGTGAATCTAAGTTTGGCCTCATTGAGGGGCAGCATTTCAATATGAGTAGGAAAATGAGAGTACCCCTAAACATTTTTTTAGAAGAAACAAAAGCACTGATTCTAACTGATTATAGCTGAGGTCCGTTGGTCATATAATGTGCCTTTGGAGTGTCCATTGAATTTTTAAAATTATTAATATTATTTCACATATCTAGACATCCAGAAGCAGAAAGCCCTTTCACTTTCTTTTATCTGTCTTAAATAATCAATTCATCCCCCCCCCCTCCACTCTAAGCTCCATCTATATGGACTTGGCTGGAAATGTAATGAAGAAAAAGAGAAAAGGATGTTAGACCCATCTGTATTCCATTGAGCATTCTCTACCTTGCCCATCACAAGATCCTTCATTGACCAAAAAAAAAAATTGGATATATGGTGCTGGTGAACATGAAATATCTCTGGCCACTTTAGCCTTTCTGTCAAGCAGAGCCAAATCAATAACTGTCCACACAGCATATGAAACTATTTCCAGTTCACTGAAGCCCTATTGTTATGCTTGATAGACATCTGCAACAGCAGATAGCACAGTGGGCACATGTGAATCGGCTAAAGGTTGGGAAGTTATCTTTGAGCTCCTCTCTCCCCACTGATATTTAAATATCACTTTACCTGCCTACAGTGACAATGTAGAGCCAGTTTATATGCCATGCAACGTGGGGAGGAGGGATTTGGTTTAAGCCAGTCTAGAAAAGCAACAGTTAAAATTTTACACAGGGATGATTGAGTGAAATTTAGGGAAATGCAGTATCAGGTGCCACAAAAACTGAAGAAAATATATAGTTCTGAAAATGTATGTGTCTGGCTCCATAATACCCAAAATGTAGGCTTTCAACATAAATCAGAGCATTTTGGAAATTGTTGTGAAAACCATTAAGAACCTTTAGGGGCAATGAAAGCTTGTATAATGGATCCTATCAGATTTCTCTGGCCAGCTGTTGTTGGACTTTAGCTTCCATCAGCCTAAACCAGCATGGCTAATAGGCAGGCATGATGGGACTTGTAGTCCAACAACTGGAGGGCCACAGGTTGATGAAGCCTGCTATAAATAGTATGTTAAAAACAAGACAGACCAGGAAGATTGGCAAAATAAATTAGTGAACTATGCAGGCCAAATTACCGTATTTTTCGCTCAATAAGACGCACTTTTTTCCTCCTAAAAAGTAAGGGGAAATGTGAGCGCGTCCTATGGAGCGAATGGCACTGCGCAGAGAGGGAGAGCTGTGCAGCGCCCCTTCAGTGAAGCGGGAAGAGGAACGGAGACCCTTCTGTTCCTCCTCCCACTTCGCTGAAGGGGTGCTGTGCAGCTCTCCCTCTCTGTGCAGTGCCTGTCCTGCGAAGCCGGAGGAGGAACAGAAGGGTCTCCTTCTGTTCCTTCTCCAGCTTCGCTGAAGGGGCGCTGCGCCTTCTCCCTCTCTGCGCAGTGCCTCTCCTGTGAAGGAGAGGTGCTGCGCAGAGAAAGAGAACTGCACAGTGCCCCTTCAGCGATGCGCCTGTCATGCGAAGCGGGAGGAGGAACAGAAGGGACTCCATCTGTTCCTTCTCCAGCTTCGCTGAAGGGACGCTGCGCAGTTCTCCCTCTCAGAGAGGGAGAACTGCGCAGCGCCCCTTCAGCCACACACATGTCCTGGCTTCTGCCTTAGCCCTGCGCAGCCTCTTCGGGCAGGGGGAGCCTTCATCCCGCTGCCCTGAAGAGGCTTGGCGCGGTTATCCCAGAAGCCAGAACAGCCACACGGTTTCCCAGAAGCCAGATCCCTCTTGCTGTTCTGGCTACTGGGATTCAGAATAATTATTTTCTTGTTTTCCTCCTCCCAAAACTAGGTGCGCCTTATGGTCTGGTGCGCCCTATGGAGCGAAAAATATGGTAGATAATTTGAAACCCAAGAAAGAGGACTTTGATTTTTTAAAAAGGGAAATGTTTAATGCATATTTTTAAAGCTTTGCGTCTAGATTTCTACATTAGTAGAACTTTTAAAAGTCACTTGTAATAAGATGAATCGGGTTTTTAAATTGGCCTGTCAAGAACATAAGCTTTTACGGACGTGCATGAAAAACAATGTAACCAAGAGGGGGAGTGGAGGGAAGTCAAGCATATGGTGATGTTATGGTTTGTATATGTAGATGAGCTAAAAATTATGGTTTGAAATTTTGTTTATGATGGGGGGTTCACATTTGGACATCATTCAAAACCAGGGATGGGAGACATGTGGTCCTCCAGTTGTTGTTGAACTACAGATCCCTTCATCCCCGACCATTGGGTTATGCTGGAGGGCCAAATGTTTCCCATATCCATGCTAAACCATAGTTTTGCATGTGAATGAGTCACAGTGATCCTTGGGCTGAGAAACTGTGGTTAATTTGAGCTGTGGTTTGTTTGAACCAACTTGAAAGCATGGTGAGAAAATAATACTAATAATATCCACCCTGAACCAGTCTTTAACCATACTGTCAGTGAGTGCAACAGCCTAGTTAAACTTACTACTTCAGAGTCGGTGTCCTTATCAAATCTAGTACGTTGAGGTAGTGTATGTTGCAACATTTGGAAGCAACATTTGGATGGGATGTGATTATATAAACATAGACAGACAAATAACTCTTCCAGCATTTGATAAATATGCCAGAATCACCCTTACCTAATCAACCCTATTAATTATTTTTCCCAAGGAGGATTCCTTTCACATTGATTTGCAGCGCGACAGCCATCTGTACCGACAAGAATAGCCTGCTTTGAGATCATAAGTGCTTTTCATCAGCATTACAATTTCCTCCTTCTCTCCGTTAGGTAGGTCTTCACATCTAATCTGTTTATGTGCAGCTTTTCATGCGCTGAGTGACAAGCCTGTCATTCTCCATTACAGGGTAGCGTTGACAACACAGCTCTTTCAAAATTTGTTCTGGGAATCTACTAATACTACATGTATCTGCCAGTTGTAAGCGTCTGTCCTACAGTATGTCCAGAGTGTCTTCTTGTATTTCCAAAGCGTTCTGATCTGGATTAAAAACACACACACAAACACTTCCCGTTGCATAAGCGATTGAATAACTCAGGTTTCAAGGGAACAACTCAAAAAGAGATAAATACTGTATGCCTCTGGAGAAAGGAATAGCACAACAAAATGTGTCCTAAAGTCTTTAATATGAAACTGAAATAGTAGTTTTTCCCCATTTCATGTTGTTGTTGTTGTTGTTGTTGTTGTTCTTCTTCTTCTTCTTCTTCTTCTTCTTCTTCTTCTTCTTCTTCTTCTTCTTCTTCTTCTTTCTTCTCTTCATTCTGTTCTGCACTTCTTATGAATTACATCTCAGGATGGATGCATCCATTACCATACAGCCTAACTCACATCAACATGGGGACAGGACTAAGTCTGTCTCTTACAGATTTAAAGGGGGAAATACTTTAAAATCAATGGGGAATTAAAATGTCAACAGAAAATTAAAAACAGAAAAAGGAAACGTGCTTACAAGGGCTACAGCACTACCTCTGTCCAAAGCCAGCTAGTTTCTCAGCAATGCCAGTGGAATGGCCCTACTTCTCATTTGTCATTATCCTACAGCATGGGTAGGCAATCTAAGGCCCAGGGGCCGGATCTGGGCCAATCAACATCTAAATCTGGCCCGTGGACAGTCCGGGAATCAGTGTGTTTTTACATGAGTAGAATGTGTGCTTTTATTTAAAATGCATCTCTGGGTTATTTGTGGGGCATAGGAATTCATTCATTATTTTTTTCAAAATATAGTCCAGCCCCCCCACAAGGTCTGAGGGACAGTGGACCGGCCCCCTGCTGGAAAAGTTTGCTGACCCGTGTCCTACAGCCTGATGAAACACCTTCTTCGAGGTGACAGCTGAGAAAGAGTCAAAGGCTTGGAATTACTCTCGAAGAAAAAGTCACTTGTGGACTACAGCAAGGTAATTGCCCCCCCCCCCCAATAAATAACACCATCTTAATAATACCACATTACCCACCATGTTTTTCCAATGCACAATCAGCTGTGGCCCCTTATCCCATCGGTACTTTTTTGCTGCCTTCTGACTGTTTTAGCAAGCTGCAAATGGCAAATGAAATGTTGGTTTGCCTGTACCAGAAGCACTTTGTATTATTTTGTCTTTCCCCCCTTCCTGATCTTGTGGAAAGCTGCCGAAATGAACACGGTCCTTTGTTGTTGTTGTTTAGTCATTTAGTCGTGTCCGACTCTTTGTGACCCCATGGACCAGAGCATGCCAGGCACTCCTGTCTTCCACTGCCTCCCGCAGTTTGCTCAGACTCATGTTTGTAGCTTCGAGAACACTGTCCAACCATCTCGTCCTCTGTCATCCCTTTCTCCTTGTGCCGACAGTCCTTAAAGGTAAATGTAAAGGTACCCCTGCCCGTATGGGCCAGTCATGCCCAACTCTGGGGTTGCGCACCCATCTCGCTTAAGAGGCCGGAGGCCAGCGCTGTCCGGAGACACTTCCGGGTCACGTGGCCAGCGTGACAAAGCTGCTCTGGCGAGCCTGCACCAGCGCAGCACACGGAAACGCTGTTTACCTTCCTGCTATAAAGCGGTACCTATTTATCTACTTGCACTTAAGAGTGCTTTCGAACTGCTAGGTGGGCAGCAGCTGGGACCGAACGACGGGAGCTCACCCCACCGCGGGGATTCAAACCGCCGACCATACGATCGGCAAGTCCTAGGCGCTGAGGTTTTACCCACAGCGCCACCCGCGTCCCTGCCAACAGTCCTTACCTTGGCTTTAATAAGTGCTTCTTAAAGTCAGACCCCATCGAACAACTTGCCCAAAGCAAAATTCTCACAGCTTAATTCAAATTTGGAGAAAAGGGGTTATAGAGTCGATCCAGTCTAAGTCTTTGCGGAAAAATAAGCAAACAACTTGGTAGAAAAGACCGTGCACCGTATGGTCTGTATTAGCCACAAAAATTAAACTTATTTCATCAATGGCTTCAAAAGATTGATATAAATGTTTGAGCAGAAGTATCCATAAGGCTTCCCCTCCCATGACGTTTAAAAATTTCCCTATTCTGAAGTCATTTCCCATTTGACATAAAAGTAGTTTGAAATGCATTCTGATTTTATCTGCTTCAGCTTTGAAGTAACAGTTTGAACCTGCTTCAGAAAAGACTGAGATAAGGATAATATGATTGCTATCTCAAATCACAGAGTAGGTTACATGCAGCTTTAAAGATTTACACATCAAAAACTTTATTTGAGTGCAAAGATTTTGTAAGATCATTCTTACCCGGTAATTACATTACAAAAACTTTGCAAATGTAAGAGAATATCAGAAGATGAACTTAGTATGTTTGTCAAAAGCCTCACTGAGGCCAACAAAAAAAATTTCCCCTGTTATATGCCATGCGCCAAGCTCTAATGTTCTGAAGTCTGACTAGACTGAACACAGTGTTTAAGGTACTCTCTATAATTTTTAGGGAACTATTAATGTCAAAGAGGCCTTAATTATGAAAAGATATGTGTGTGTGTTCCATCTAACTAAGTTATACTCAGAGCAGACTCACGGAAGTAATGCATTTAACTCTAACTATGGCATTGTAACCCAATCTTAGCTGAACACAACACAATATATTTATTGACAAAATAGGTTGGATCTACATATGCAGAGCTCAATGGCTCTTTTGTCAGTTGTGAGAATATTATAAACAAATAAGTGAAATAGTATAATCTATCCCTGATCCCAATAGAAAGATGTGCAAAATTCATTTTAGCAACCAAACTTTAAATAAATGATGTGGAAGTCTATTTTCAACATAACAATACTTACCTTACTAGTGTACTGTATTAAAAAAAACAACCCACGTCTCTCTGGTACAAAATGTTCTGGTGACATTAAAGCAGTTTTGCTAAACTCTTGTTATTTTTTAACCAAGATTATTATTTTATTCTTTTACCATTTTGTAGAAAATGGCACATTATTATCAAGAAAAGATGAAACAAAATTGCACCAGCAAATGACTAAAACACATTATGACCTGAATTTTCCTTTCCCTATAAGATTGTTTTGATACAGAGCATTATTGTAGAATAATGTTCTCAGATGAAGTTTGGATATACTTTTACCTCCCTATGGTGACATCGAGCTCTGCACCAGTGTAAAATGAAAATATAATCTTGCATGGCACTTGGAGAGATGCCCTCATCTCTCAGACTGATGCCATTTAAACATTATTTTTCCCCTTTATGAAGGCTCCTCATAGCCATCTGCAGGCATAGAGAGAGAAAAGAAAACAACATACCCTTGGGTGGAGGGGGTAGGAAAAAATGCTACTAAATACCAGCCCCAGCTTACTGCTAGAATGAATGCAACAAAGCGTGTTCTCCATAACAGAGAGCACGTGTTGCGGTGGGGGCCTAAAGACCACCCCACTGTTGTTTGGCTAATATTTGGCCAGGAGCTGTGATTGGGCAAAGGAGTGTTGCTGGGGAGTTTGCTATGTTGCAAACTGGTGGGAGGGGTCAGAGGGCTTAAATACAGGGCACGCAGCCTGGGGATCACCCGCACACCCTCCCTGAAAAGGGGGGGTTCATTGTCCTCTGACCTTGCTA